GTGTGAGAACAGACAAGCTGGTCTCTCTGTGTCTCTGTGTGTGAGAGTAACAGACAAGCTGGTCTCTCTGTGTCTCTGTGTGTGAGTAGCAGGCAAGTTGGTATCTCTGTGTCTCTGTGTGTGAGAGTAGCAGGCAAGTTGGTCTCTCTGTGTCTCTGTGTGTGTGAGTAACAGACAAGCTGGTCTCTCTGTGTCTCTGTGTGTGTGAGTAGCAGACAAGCTGGTCTCTCTGTGTCTCTGTGTGTGAGAGTAACAGACAAGCTGGTCTCTCTGTGTCTCTGTGTGTGTGAGTAGCAGGCAAGTTGGTCTCTCTGTGTCTCTGTGTGTGAGAGTAGCAGGCAAGTTGGTTTCTCTGTGTCTCTGTGTGTGTGAGTAGCAGACAAGCTGGTCTCTGTGTGTCTCTGTGTGTGACAGTAGCAGACAAGCTTGTCTCTCTGTGTCTCTGTGTGTGTGTGAGTAGCAGGCAAGCTGGTCTCTCTGTGTCTCTGTGTGTGTGAGTAACAGGCAAGTTGGTCTCTCTGTGTCTCTGTGTGTGTGTGAGTAGCAGACAAGCTTGTCTCTCTGTGTCTCTGTGTGTGTGTGAGTAGCAGGCAAGCTGGTCTCTCTGTGTCTCTGTGTGTGTGAGTAACAGGCAAGTTGGTCTCTCTGTGTCTCTGTGTGTGTGTGAGTAGCAGACAAGCTGGTCTCTCTGTGTCTCTGTGTGTGTGTGAGTAGCAGACAAGCTGGTCTCTCTGTGTCTGTGTGTGTGCGAGTAGCAGGCAAGTTGGTCTCTCTGTGTCTCTGTGTGTGAGAGTAGCAGGCAAGTTGGTCTCTCTGTGTCTCTGTGTGTGTGAGTAACAGACAAGCTGGTCTCTCTGTGTCTCTGTGTGTGTGAGTAGCAGACAAGCTGGTCTCTCTGTGTCTCTGTGTGTGAGAGTAACAGACAAGCTGGTCTCTCTGTGTCTCTGTGTGTGTGAGTAGCAGGCAAGTTGGTCTCTCTGTGTCTCTGTGTGTGAGAGTAGCAGGCAAGTTGGTCTCTCTGTGTCTCTGTGTGTGTGAGTAGCAGACAAGCTGGTCTCTGTGTGTCTCTGTGTGTGACAGTAGCAGACAAGCTTGTCTCTCTGTGTCTCTGTGTGTGTGTGAGTAGCAGGCAAGCTGGTCTCTCTGTGTCTCTGTGTGTGTGAGTAACAGGCAAGTTGGTCTCTCTGTGTCTCTGTGTGTGTGTGAGTAGCAGACAAGCTTGTCTCTCTGTGTCTCTGTGTGTGTGTGAGTAGCAGGCAAGCTGGTCTCTCTGTGTCTCTGTGTGTGTGAGTAACAGGCAAGTTGGTCTCTCTGTGTCTCTGTGTGTGTGTGAGTAGCAGACAAGCTGGTCTCTCTGTGTCTCTGTGTGTGTGTGAGTAGCAGACAAGCTGGTCTCTCTGTATCTCTGTGTGTGTGTGAGTAGCAGGCAAGCTGGTCTCTCTGTGTCTCTGTGTGTGTGAGTAGCAGACAAGCTGGTCTCTCTGTGTCTCTGTGTGTGTGTGAGTAGCAGGCAAGCTGGTCTCTCTGTGTCTCTGTGTGTGTGAGAGTAGCAGGCAAGCTGGTCTCTCTGTGTCTCTGTGTGTGTGAGAGTAGCAGGCAAGCTGGTCTCTCTGTGTCTCTGTGTGTGTGAGTAGCAGGCCAGCTGGTCTCTGTGTCTCTGTGTGTGATAGTAGCAGGCAAGCTGGTCTCTCTGTGTCTCTGTGTGTGTGTGAGTAGCAGGCAAGCTGGTCTCTCTGTGTCTCTGTGTGTGTGAGTAGCAGACAAGCTGGTCTCTCTGTGTCTCTGTGTGTGAGAGTAACAGGCAAACTGGTCTCTCTGTGTCTCTGTGTGTGTGTGAGTAGCAGACATGCTTGTCTCTCTGTGTCTCTGTGTGTGAGAGTAGCAGGCAAGCTGGCCTCTCTGGAGGAGTTCCGCGTGCAGAAGGAGGAGCTCCTGGAGAAGTTTACGGCGCTGGAGGCGGAGCTTCAGCGCCGCGACGAGGAGCACAAGGACGAGGTGTACTCGCTGGAGCGCCACTCCGTCATCCAGCGGGACAGGTGGCGCTCACTCGTTCGCTCACCCACACACTCGCTCGCTCACCCACACACTCGCTCGCTCACCCACACACTCAACAACAACCGCCATTCGCCACTAAGTGACGGTGACGTCACCATGATGCTTGTGTAGTAGGTTCAAAGAGACTTGGACGACGTAGTCGGAGGCACACTTATTTATTAACCGTTCCACTGTATGCAGGCCAAGGTATACAACACTCGAAGGGGTATTGGCCCGTTCACCCGTCTAACAGGGAGATCCCACGATCTCTATCCCGGCTAGCCTACTGCCAGGTTCTCCACGATAGAGCTAGGGGAGGCTAGCTGACCCAGCTCTGGCCAAGCTGGGATCACGGCACCCTAAGTCACCAGACCGGCTCTTACAAGAACATCGGCTCTGGGCTCTTGGGGCCACGCCACTGGCTTGCCCTGGTCGGTCCTTAGAAGGATGGCGATCCAGGGGAGTCCCAGGGCCTATCTAGCCGGTCTTCCTTCTTCACTGGTTTAAGCTAAACACTGAACCCCGAGCCTACCGGCTCACCGCCTTATATAGCAACTCCCTCCCCGAGGGGTGGGTCCGTGGGGGATCACATCGCGGTTTCAGCCCCCCAGGCTAAACGATGCGGACGTGGATGTAAGCATCCTTCCGCGTGCGGGCATAACCACCCCTGGTGTGTTTGTTCGCCCTCCCGTAATACCTCTACATCACCCCCCCCTGTACAGTCTGCAGCTGCCCCGGCTGCAACAAAATTCACAATAAAGATGCATCCATACCCAAACCCGTGTGTGCCTCGCGTAAACAACAACAATAACAACAACAACAATAACAACAACAACAACAACAACAACCGAGAGAGAGAAAAATAACCCGATGCACCCCCCCAATAAATACCCCATCCTGTAATAAAACAACATATGTACAATTTCAAAGTCCCCCACCCCCGCGACCCCAGCCAGGGCAGCACGAGCGGCCGACCTCACAAAAGTCTGTGCGTTTTGGCGCGCGTTCTTGCAGCGGGACCATCACAAGGGGCAGCCCCGGCCGGCCCAGCGGTGTGTGTCAATAGTTCGGGTGCGAGAGTGTCTGGCTTCGCCGACGAGTGACCCCCGACCCCCCCGGGAGGGGTTGGCGGTCACGAGCACGTCAATCCTGGTGCACCTGGAAGCGGAACAGTCGGTGGTAAGTCAGGCGAATGCAGCGAAGTCGGACTCCGGAAGTCGGTGGACCCCCTACATGTTTAGCCATGTGTGTGTGGAGTAGGAACATGGGGCGCAACGAACGGTTTCAACCGCGAGGGGTGCACGAACCACCGACGGTTCCCCCACCGGATACGTACACAGTGTGGCCGCAAGACCTGCACCACTTCCACGGGCCCCCGCCACGGCCGCAACAGCTTGGACGAGGTCGCCAGCGGAACTTGGGGACAGTGCAACCACGCCTTGTCACCCGGTTTTCACTGGAGCACATGTACCTGGTCCAGCTTGAGCCTTTCATTCGCCATCTGGCGGAGGTCTGAATTTTGGATGGCCGCCTCCCGTGCCTCTGTCAATTTAGCGATGTTAAATTTGACATGGTCGGCCAATTTGGATTTAGCATGCGGCGCGGAGATCCGCAACTGAGTCGCGACAGGCGGGTTAGCCTCGCGACCGTACATTAGGAAGAAGGGCGAAAATCCGGTCGCCGCATGAGGAGCCATTCTGTAGGCCGCCAAAACCCCCGGAATATGAAGGTCACAGTCGGTCTGGGATTCAGACACCTGTTAAGACAGCATGGACGTGATAGTCCGATGCAGACGCTCCACCATCCCGTCAGTTTGCGGATGATATGGGGAGGTACGGATCTGTTTCGTACCCAGGAGCTCGCACACTTCGTGGAGAAGTTTACCCGATAAATCTTTTCCCTGGTCGGTCAGCAGCTGCTCCGGAGCACCTTTGTCGAGGACGTAGCCCTGGATAAAGGCCTCCGCGATGGCTGCTGCCGACTGGTTGGCGAGGGGCCAGGCCATAGGCCATCGCGTAAAATATTCCACCCCGGTCAATAGGTATTTATTTCCCCTAGGTGTAGCGGGGAATGGGCCCAAAATATCAAGCGCGACGAGTTTGTTAACCCGGGAAACCTTGATAGACTGCAATGGTGGGTTGGACCCCCTTGCTGGTGGCTTCCGTTGCGCGCACTGAGTACAAGACCCTACAAGATCATCCACGTCCCTTGCCATGCCCGGCCAAGAAAAATCCAGCTGGAGCATGGCAAGGGTTTTGTGAGTCCCCAGGTGCAGGAGTCGCTCGTGAGCAGCCCACACCACTCTACCCCTCAATGTGGAAGGCACCACCAGCCGGTGGCGGCGGGATCTCCCGTCCCAATGCATCAAGAGACCCTGGAACAACCCCCACGAGTCGACATTTTCCACCATCCGACCAGATCCCCCGATGCGACGGCGCAACGCGTGGAGGGAGGTGTCCTCCATTTGGAGGCGCCCCCACTCCACAACAGACAATCCCAGCAAGTAATCCCTCCCTTCTTGCTCAATAGGACCTGCAATTGAAGGCGCATCAGCAGCAGCCGCAAGGACCGACTCAGAGATTACATTCGGAGGTCTGCAACGCCCCGAACCCAGGAGGCAAGCGCACTCGGAGGTGGGCGGCAAATGCGACAGAGCGTCTGCGTTCGTGTAGCGAACGCCCTTACGATATGTAGTCTCGAAATCGAAATCTTGGAGAATCTCCAACCATCGGGACAATTGTCCCGATGGCTGTTGAACCCGCAAGGCGTACTGCAGCGCTGCATGATCTGTGTGGACGGTGAAATGGCGACCGTACAGATATGGGCGATATTGCTGAATGAAGTAAACGATTGCCAATAGTTCCCGACGGGTGACACAGTACCTCTGCTCCGCCGGAAACAAAACCCGACTGCCGTATGCTACCACATGCTCTACGCCCCCAACAACCTGGGAAAGCACGCCCCCAATGCCCGTGTTGCTTGCGTCCGTATCGAGCAAGAAGGGTTTCGAAAAGTCGGGAGAAATTAATGGCGGAGCCCCCACTAGGGCGTCCCGGAGGGAGCAAAAAGCAGCCTCCTCCTCCTGTCCCCAGTGAAACTTGACCCCCTTTAATGTCAAGGCATGTAAGGGTTTAGCAATCGTCGCGAAATCGGCGACAAACCGTCGGTAATACGACGCGAATCCAATGAAACTCCTGACCTCCCCCACCAAGGTGGGAGTCGGACAGGAGCTGACACATTGCGTTTTGGCGGGATCTGTGGAAATACCTGACCGTCCAACAATGTGGCCCAAATACCGCACTGATTCGTGGAGCAAATGACATTTCTGCGGCTTGAATTTCAAATTAGCAGCCCGCATTTTGAGGAAAACAGCCCGCAACCTCTGGAGGTGTTCGTCGAATGTTTTACTAAAGATGATGATATCGTCTAAGTAAATCAAACAAGAATCCCATTGCAACCCAGCCAGGACCAATTCCATTAATTGCTGGAAAGTCACTGTCGCTGAGTGGAGCCCCATCGGCAAGCGGTTAAATTGGAATAAGCCGTGCGGCGTACGGAAAGCTGTTTTAGGTTTAGATTCATCATCCAGAGGGAGCTGCCAGAACTCTGACAGTAAATCCAATGTGGAGAAGAACCGCGCCCCCGCCAGGGCGTCAAGCAATTCATCCATCCGAGGGAGCGGGTATGCGTCGGCTACGGAGATCTTGTTTAGCCGACAAAAATCAACACAAAACTGCAAGGAGCCGTCGTGTTTTTTAACTAACACGATGGGTGCACCCCAAGGGCTGGTAGAAGGGGATATAATATCCACAGCTAGCATGTCGTCTACGGCCGATTTGACATGATCCTTTTTGGCGGGACTCAACCGAAAAGGATTTTGGCGGATTGGCGCGCTGTCACCCGTGTCAATATGGTGTCGCAACAGTTTAGTACAGCCAATATCATATTTGTGTCGACTAAAAACGTCGGAAAAATCGCGCAGAAGGGTTCGTAGCTTATCACGCTGTGAGTCGGACAGGTCCGATGATCCTGCGCAAAGCGCATCCAGCCACCCCAATGACCGGTTCCTCACGGGGTACCGGCGTTGCGTGCGCAAGCACGGTCCCTTGAGGAACCACAGCCGTTCACAACCCAACATTGAGGACCGCGATGAAGGGGTCCCCGTCCCCTTTCACAATGGTCTGGGCCGCTATCAAATAAGGTTCGTTGACCCCGGCCCTAGACGGTCCCAACAGAACACCCCGATCCCCAATCCCCTTAGCGAATGGTCGACGCAGCCTAAGAGGCACGAGCATCTGAGCCCCCGGCGATACGCGTACCGTCCTCGTAACAAGCGCTTGTACCGTCGCAAATGCGATACGGACAGTAGCGGGGGAGGACAAGAACATCATACATCGGCCCGACGGGAGTTCGATGCAACCTTGGTCGATCAAGATTCGAATTGGCATTTTGGCCAAAAAGTCCGTCCCCAACACGCACGGAACTGCCAGCGAGGAGGAGACCAATACCGGCCCGGATTATTTGATGTCCCCAATACAAATTTGCACGCGGATCTGTCCAATAATGCCCAGCGAGCCCCCGTTGGCAGCATAGCATGGAACATCAACGGGGAGCAAAGGACGGCTTTGAATGGGGAGAATGTTATAAATTAAATCGGACACAATTGTCGCCGATGCCCCCGTATCAACTAAGACCCGCACCTCAACCCCATCAATATGCCCCGCAACGACCGACGACCCCGCCGACGCGGCAACAACGTGGTGGGCCAACTCAGACCACTGGCCCAGTTGGAACGCCCTCCCCATCACGGCACATTTTGACGCAACGACAGCCGATTTCTGACCCCTGTTTGTTGCAGTGCGTGAGTGTGTCACAGGTGTGTGCGTAGGCCAAACATGTGGGGTGTCATGACTTGCCGGAGATTGCTGCGGAGCCTTGGGTAGAGGCGCGTTGTCCAGCCAAGGCGTCGCACCGCGCTGTCGAGGAGCCCGGCATCCCGAAGCCACATGGCCCCGGAGGCAACAGTTGTAGCACTGCATGAGCATCCCAGACGGCTTGGGTTGATCCTGGTGGCTTAGCCCGTCCCGAGCTGGCCGTCCCCCGGATCTCCACTCCGTCGGGCGACCCACAGCGCAAACCTCTTCCAATGGGAGGGTGGTGGCAGCCACGGTATGTCTGGCCGCCGCCTTGCTGGCCTTGCGACGCTGGGACAGCAAGTTTGCGTGGATGTGCCGTGCGGCCCGCAGGGAACACATCTCCTTGTCGTCTTGCGCCAAGACGACGATGTCCAAATCGTCCGCCAACAGCAATATCTTCTCAGCCACCATAGCGTCCACCCCTTCCTCGTCCATCCGCGGGAAAGCAGTCTTCGTCAGGGCCAGGAGAGCCGTGCGGTATGCCAGGGGCGATTCCTTGGCGCCCCGCTGACGATCGTAAAACAGCTGTCTGCAGTCAGAAGGTGGACCGTAGACTGCAGACAGGAGTCGAAGCGCCGCCTGCAGCATGGCGCGCGCCGATCTCGGCGCCGTAGTGAGGGTGGCGAGGGCGTCACTGTCCAGCGTCGCTGGCAGCGCGCGTAGCGCCTCGTCGTCCGTCCATCGCGACATTTGTTGGTGGGCGAGGAAACGTCTTTGGAAGGCTCGCCAGTCGCCGTCTTCCGCCACAAACTCTTTGAGAACCGGCAATCGCTGCTGGAACGAGGCCTCCGCAGCCGTAGATCGTCAACCATCTGTACAGTATCGGCGGAAACGGCGGACGCCATCAGCGGTCGCACCGCTGATGACGCGCTGGCCGCTGATTGGCGTTCGCCGCCGTCGGCCGCTGTTGATGACGTGGCGGTTTCTGGTCGGCGACTGTTGGTCACATGACGTGGCCCGGCCCTGCCCTCAGCACCCACTGTACTGATGGCGGCAAATCCAACCTCCAGCCCCGTTGAAATGGTGGGAACTGGCGTCGCGTGTCGTCCGACGTCGCCCCGTGCTGCTCCTCCAACCCCGAGGCGAGTGATTTCCTCTAGCGTGGCGGCTGCCGCGTAGAGTAGCTCCGTCAGGCGGGAGTGAGCCACCCGCAGCCCGTCAGCCGACGGTCCCCACCTGTCCGGCTGCTGCGGTATCGGCGGATTTGGCCCCGGTTGCTCGAACTCGCCCTCGGCGAGTTCAGGCTCTGAGTCGGCTGAGGTGTCCTTCTCCCCAGGTTCCTTGGTACGAGCTGTCCGTCTTGTGTCCATCTTTAGAAGACCACTTCTGACTCCAGTTGTAGTAGGTTCAAAGAGACTTGGACGACGTAGTCGGAGGCACACTTATTTATTAACTGTTCCACTCTATACAGGCCAAGGTATACAACACTCGAAGGGGTATCGGCCCCTTCACCCGTCTAACAGGGAGATCCCACGATCTCTATCCCGGCTAGCCTACTCCCAGGTCCTCCACTACAGAGCTAGGGGAGGCTAGCTGATCCAGCTCTGGCCAAGCTGGGATCACTGCACCCTGAGTCACCAGACCGGCTCTTACAAGAACATCGGCTCTGGGCTCTCGGGGCCACGCCACTAGCTTTCCCTGGTCGGTCCTTAGAAGGACGGCGATCCAGGGGAGTCCCAGGGCCTATCTAGCCGGTCTTCCTTCTTCACTAGTTTAAGCTAAACACTGAACCCCGAGCCCACCGGCTCACCGCCTTATATAGCAACTCCCCCCCCCCCCCCCGAGGGGTGGGGCCGTGGGGGATCACAGCGCCGTTTCAGCCCCCCAGGCTAAACGATGCGGACGTGGATGTAAGCATCCTTCCTCGTGCGGGCATAACCACCCCTGGTGTGTTTGTTCGCCCTCCCGTAACACCTCTACACTTGTGCAAGGCTATGTGCACCTTGAGGCCACGTGAAGTGTCGAACGCCTGCTGGCAGGTCACGGGGCAGACCCAGATGCCACGGGTCGACTGGCGGAGACTCGATCACCCGCTCACCCACTGACCCACACACTCGCTCGCTAGCTCACACACATGCTCGCTCACCCACATGCTCACTCACCCACTCACTCGCTCACACAGACACTGGCTCACCCACTCATTCGCTCACTCTGACACTCGCTCACTCAACCACTCACTCGCTCACTCACCCAGCCACTCATCCAGGCACTCACTCACCCAGCCACTCACTTGCTAACCCAGCCAATCGCCCAGCCACTCACTCATCCAGCCACTTACTCACCCAGTCACTCACTCGGTCATCCAGCCACTCACTCTCCCAGCCTCACTTGCTGACCCAGCCAATCACTCACCCAGCCACTTACTCACCCAGCCACTCACTCACCCAACCACTCACTCACTCCCTCACCCAGTCATTCACTTACTCACCCAGCCACTCATCCAGGCACTCACTCACCCAGCCACTCACCCAGACACTCTTTTGCTGACCCAGCCAATCACCCAGCCACCCACTCACCTAGCCACTCACTCACTCACCCAGCCACTCACCCAGGCACCTACTCACTAACTCATCCAGCCACTCACTCACCCAGCCAGTCACCCAGGCACCTACTCACTAACTCATCCAGCCACTCACTCACCCAGCCACTCACTCGCTCACCCAGCCACTCATCCAGGCATTCACTCACTCACCCAGCCACTCTTTTGCTGACCCAGCCAATCACTCAGCCACTCACTCGCTCACCCAGCCACTCACCCAGGCACCTACTCACTAACTCACCCAGCCACTCACTCACCCAGCCACTCACCCAGACACCCACTCACTCACTCACTCACCCAGCCACTCACTCGCTCACCCAGCCACTCATCCAGGCACTCACTTACCCAGCCACTCACTTGCTGACCCAGGCAATCACCCAGCCACTCGCTCCCCCAGCCACTCACCCAGTCACTCCCCCCCTCCGCCCCGCAGGCTCAAGAAGGAGATGGTGTCGCGCGTCAACTGCGTGGCCTCTGAGTTCCGCCGCGCATCCACGCGCCAGATGGCGGAGACGACACGCCGGGCGCTGCGCGACACCGTCAGCTGCGCGGCGCAGCTACGGCAAGCCGCCAGCAGCGCCGCGCGTGAGGAGGTGGCGGGCCGGGAGGCTCGCGAGCGAGGGGACAGCCTCGCCCGGCGCCTGCAGCTCTCGCTCGACGAGCAGGAGGAGCTGGCACGAGCCAGCGCTGGCAAACGCAAGGTGGGAGGTGGGGGGAGGGGAAAGAGGTGGGGGGGGGGGGAGACGTCTCCTAGCCCAACCCCATCTGGTGGAGCCAGGAGATTGAATCTTAACCCTCGGGGCTCCTCCAGAAACAACAAAAAGCCACTACAGATGGCCACGTGGAATGTTCGAACGCTCACTGAGGAGGAGAGGCTGCCACTCCTCTGTCGGGAGCTGGACCGGTACCGCCTAGATCTCTGTGGCATTGAGGAGGTCCGGTGGACCGGCTCTGGCTCCTGCCACCTGCCACCATGAGGGTTGGACAGTCCTCCACTCGGGGCAGGAGACTGCCAAACAACAGGGTGTGGCTCTTCTTCTGAACAAAATAATAAAGGGGATGTGGGAGCGTGGCGGTGAGGTGTGGGGAGCTGTAAGCCCCAGGCTACCTTGGGCTCGCCTTCCCATCAACCGGAGGCGAGGAGTGGTGGTCGTGGTTATTTATGCCCCCACCGAAGATGAACATCCGTGGAGGGATCCAGGCAAGGCCAATGAGTCAGATGCCTTCTATGACCTCCTGTCACAGGTGCTGGCTAAAGTGGCCTCTCGGGATAGAGTCATCTTGTTGGGCGACTTCAATGCCAGAGTTGGTCATGATGCTGGCACCTGGTCTGGAGTGATTGGAAGGCATGGGCCAGATCAGCTCAATAACAATGGTAGGAGGCTACTAGATTTTTGTGCAGCCCATGGACTTCTAATTACCAACACGCTGTTCCGGCATCGGCGCATCCACACAACATCATGGATGCATGCCGGGTCCAAGCAAGAACATTTGCTGGACCTCATAGTGATGGACCAGCGGATGCGAGCCCATGCCCTTGACACCAGGACCTCCCGTGGAGCTGATCTGCCCTCTGACCATCGATTTGTCATCTATTCTAGATCTGTAAGATGCGCCTGCCATTCTTCCACTTCGGTGGTGGATGTACACCCAGGACCCCATTCCAACCTAAGGTGGCCTGGTCTCAGCTAGCTGATGGAAGTTGCAAGTGAGAATTTCATCATCGCTTGCGGCTGGGGTTGGCATCGTCCCCCACTCCTGATGTCGAGGGTAAATGGGCGAGGTTTAGGGCTGTGACTCATGCAGCTGCAATGGCTGCTTTGGGTACGCGGTCCAGACCTCCCCAGAAACCCTGGCTGACAGAGGTGTTCAGGATGGTTGAGAAAAAGCGACAGGCCCACTCTAATCGTCTACAGCATCCCACGTCAGAGAATGAGGAGGCTTACCGCAGCCTTTGCTCGGAGGTTCGGAGAGCCGTGAGGCGCTGCAAGGATGGGTGGTGGTTGCTGAGGAGATGGGGTCTGCCTAAGTGGCCTGCGACCACAAATCCCTATTTAACTCCATCAAAAAAGTAACCTGCAGCGCCACACCTATTACCATCATTAGGGGAAAAAAACGGTGATCCAATCTCCGACCCCCAGGAACAGGTTTGCAGATTTGCTGAGCATTTCTGTGAGGTCCTGGGGGAGGGGAAATCCCTCAGCCAGGAAAACATCGTGGCACAAAGTGGGGATGATCCTGCTGAGGCTGCGGTGCCTCAAATATTGGAAGAAGAAGTCACTCCCTGTGAGTGGCTGGCTGAGGTGCCATCTGTTGAGGAAATACTGAAGGCGATCCAGAGTCTGAGACCAGGAAAGGCACAGGGCAGAGATGATCTCTCAAGCGAAATGCTGAGGAAGGGTGGCGTTTGTGCACAGACTGCCCTACATGACATCATAACAACAGTCTGGACCACTGAACGGGTTCCGCAGGACTGGAAGGATGCCCTGGTGGTCCCCCTCTTTAAGAAGGGGGACCGCCCAGACTGTAACAACGACAGGGGCATCTCACTCCTCAGTGTGCCGGGAAAGGTCCTGGCAAGGATTATTCAACATCGCCTTGCTAGGCACGCTGAGGAGAGGCTTGTGGTGCTCCAATGCGGTTTCAGGAAAGGGCGGTCCTGCACAGATGCAATATTTTCTGTCCGTCTGCTACAGCAGAGGTGTAGGGAATTCCGACAAGACCAACATCTCTGCTTTATTGACCTGGTCAAGGCCTATGAAACCATCAGTAGGCCTGGGCTCTGGGTTGTTCTTCGTGCTTTCGGAGTCCCTGACCCTCTGCTCACGATCATGATGGTGAGCGGGCCCGGGTAAAACTACGTGGCCGGGAGTCAGAGCCATTCCCTCTACACCTTGGGGTGCGACAGGGATGTCCTCTGACTCCCACATTATTTAACATCTATTTTGACTAATTAGTTCGTGAAGCCTTCAATAGCTGTACCGGGGGAATTTTCATTTGGTACAGATATAATGGGAGGCTGATCGATGCCCGGGTGCAGTCGAGGGATGGCTTCCTATTGACCAACCATTGAATGTATGCTGATGATCTGGTGATTGTTGCTGACCAGAGGAGGAGATGGAGGCGCTGCTGCTGAACCTGGAGTGTGCCACGAAGAGGTGGGGTCTTACCATCAGCCCCACCAAAACTAAGCACCTGCCTGGGTATTTTGTACCATCGGACACTCCACCCCCTCAGCTCGCCATTGGTAAAGGAGCAGTTGTGGAGAGAGTGGAGTTTCCCATACCTGGGCAGCATGCTTATGACCAGTTCCGGTTTGGCAGCAGAGGTCTCACTCCAAATCAGTCGGGTGGCATTATCTTTTCATCGGCTGTGCAATGCTGTCTGGAAGCTATCTGGTCTGTCACTCCGCACAAAGCTTCAGGTCTTCTCAGCCACAGTCATGCCCTCCCTTCTCTACGCTTGTGAAACGTGGACCCCTCTAATGGAGCATCTGCACCTTTTAAAAACATTCAGGTTGCCATGCCTACAATCCATCCTGGGCTTGACCAGACTGGATTGTGTGAGGAGCTCACAAATCCTTGAAAGATCTGGACACAGTCCCATCAGTGAGCTCCTCCGGCAGGCAAGGCTGCGTTGGCTGGGTCATGTAGCCCACATGCCCAGCCACCGCATGCCTAAACAGCTTTTGTTCTGCTGCATTAAGGGAGCTAAACGGGCACGGCATGGGCTGGAGAAGAGATGGAGCTGATGCGGTACATTAGGATGTGAAGCTGAGTGGATTTGCCGAAGACTGGTACCAGCAGTGTCAAGATCGGTCTCGTTGGAGGAGGTTCGTGAAGGACGCTGTTGGGCAGTTGGAGGCAGTCGCCCTCTAACAATGGAGGGGCAGAGGAACAACGCTCACAACAATGAGCAGAGTGCCCGGCGGCTAAGATGCAGCAAGTTGGCACAGTCGGGGGTACAGCCGGTGCATCTACCAGTCATCTCAATAAGCCAAGCCATTGCACCTGGGTCTGTCCCGTGACCTCCTGCCAGCGAGCCTTCGACACTTCACGTGGCCTCAGAGTGTACCTGGCCTGGCACAGGCCCCATGGTCACATCTGTCACTTTGTGGTAAATGACGGTTAGCGCTGCACTACGAACCCGGCAACCCGAGTTCGGTTCCCGCTCGCGGCCAACACCAGCGACGATTTTCTGAACCAGTCCTGGGCCTCGCCTAGGTCGACACAGCCTTAAATGAGTTCCTTTTATCACTAGTGGGGAGACAAAGGTAGCCGGGCGTGTGATTCTGGCCACCCACCCCCTCGTGTGCCATGCCGGATGTGATAGGTGCTCGCTAACAACACTTGCCTGAACAGTCTGTTTAGGCTACAAGGGGGGATCTGTCTGTGTGTGTGTGAAGGTGATTGAGATGCTGACTCAGCGCTGCCACCAGCTGCAGGAGCAGCTGCAGCTGCAAGAGCAGCAGCTGCAAGAGCAGCAAGAGCTGCAGGCGGCGCT